CCAGCCCCTTCACAGCAGGTCATAAAACGTTAGCTACCCTGAACATTACACAGTTTTAGGATTTTGGAAATGTGATGTAATGAATTCTTTACATTTGGTATCCGTCCAAATAGTGACATATCTGGTTTTGGTGACATGCTTGACATTGAACACGGCATCTTGACAAAGTTACTGTGCCACACGTCTCTCCCTCTCTGAGGAACAACTTGACCCTGGTGAAAAACTTTCACCTAGAAAACAAAAAAAACAACATCAGATAAAATACATTATTTCTGGAAAAAGAATTACTTGTTTAGCCAAAACAAATAAACGAATTATTAGCAGTTTTAAAACAGTCATTGTTGGTCAGTGCTGCAAAATCTGAATAGCAATAAGGAAGGGAGGTAGAATCAAATTCAGGGATGAAGGACACCAGAAAGGATGGAAGACAGGAAGGAATAGAAATGGGGCATCGAGAGGAAAGATGGTAGAAAACAAAAAGGGAAAGAAAGAAAAGTCAAATGGCAGAAAGAAGATCGGGATACAAAAGTACAATGAAGAAAAAAACAATTAGATCAACCAAAAAAATGAAGAGAAAGGAATAAAAGAGCACATTTAGACTGAGAGTTTCTAAAGTTTGTCCTTGGTGGCCGACATGATGCAGGGTTTAGAAGTTTCCATGCTTTTAATGGCTGATTTAGATTATTTAACAAGTTTGTTAATCATTCATCAGTGAAAAGCAGGTGTACTGAAAAGGGGGGCTGCTAGGACTTTGGGGCCCCATGAAAGACATTGATATTGGGCCCTCATCATTGGGGGGGGTTGCGCTCGGTTTTAGAATGATGATTTTGGTATCATCATTAATGATGTTATAACCCTCCGACATTGAGGAGGAATAACTGAGTAGTTGTATCCAACAGATTTTATTTTATTCAACAGATTAATATTCTGTCATTAATTTGAACTATTCAGTTTGAAAACCTTTCTGGAAAAACTGGGTCTTGGTATCGAACGCTGTCTCCCTCTATCCTCTTTCTCCTTCCATTCCTTCTTTTAAACCAAGACTTTGGGGAGCTGCATTTTTCAGCCGTGGCCATTTTTACCGCCCTGCTGCTTATTTACTTCTTAATTTGCTTCTTTGGTTCTGACTGTGTGAAATGACGTGGGCGTGGCATTAAAAGCCCCGGCACGAGGAAACAGCCAGTGACAGACGGGGAAACCTGGTGCGATGCAGGACCTGAGGAACAAAGCATTTCATGCTTTGTTTCACCGTTTACTGCTGATAAATGAGGAAGAACATGAAGAATAATGATTTCAACCCTGTAATGCCAAATGTATCATATTTGCGTCTGACACCTTTTGCATAATTTAATGGTAAAAACTTTGCTCAAAATCCTATTTTACACAAAAAAAAAAAAATTCATAAAAAAAAGAGGAA